CATAACGCTGAAGTTCATTGATCATTTTAATCAAAAACGTTGTTTTTTACTGAACATGCAAACATGAAAATGTTATTTTATTGGTCTGTTATGAAGCTGTTGCTATTTCTGTTGTGTTTTTATCACTTTTTGACGTTTTATTCATTAACCAATACATGTATTAATTGTGTTATCTATAGATATAGTATTTATGTTTTTATTTATAGTGTAGTAAAGAATTTTATTTATTACTGTTTAAAACACTAATATGTGACATTTATGAGTAGTGATGTTGTGCTGAGGGTTAAAATGTCTTTTTGTCTTTTTGTATACTGCAAACTGGCAATAAACCATTAAAACATGTCTGTGCTGTGCTCGTATTTATTTTACCCTAGTCAAGACAATTCCATTTATGATGCATTTTATTTTGAAAGATTTAAAATGGTTCTTTGAATAACCATTCAAGTTTCTTTAAAAATTTTCTGTAAAGAACCATTTTAAAAAGGTTCTTCAAAAACCATTAAAGGTTCCCCAACGACCCATTTCTTGATGGTTCTTTGGGAACCTTTGAAGGTTCTTCTACGGCATCAGTCTAAAGGACAACTTTTGGTTCCAGTTGACACCTTTATTTTTCTGAGTGCAGTCCTCTTCAGTGTATTCCGCTTTGCGTCCTTTGTCTGATCATTCCCAGCTGTTCCTCTCGTTGTCCTGCCTGTGTTGGTGTTTCTCCTGCTGTCATTCTCTCCAACGTTCAGCTTTTCTCTCGTTCTTTGTCTCAGGTTGCATGTTTCTCGTTACCAGTTTAGGTTTTTCTTAGTTTATGTCACTACCATTCTCTACTTTTGTTTGCACTTCATCCAGCCTGTAAATAAAGCTCACTCACAGGACGCCAGTCGTCAGTGCCTGCACTTGGTTCCTTCAGCATCCGTGACAAAATCATTGTTTTTTATACTTGGTGAGCCACAACCACAGAGTCCAAGCTCCACTTTCTGTCTCGTTTCTTAGGTGCTCTACTTCATTTGCTCCAAGAATATATTTATATGTGTGAGGCCGACCATGTGATGATGAGAGAGAGCGGACCAAGCGCAGACAAACAGAGGTGTAGGCGGAGCTTAAACTGAGAGCAAGTCTTTATTCGGAGGCTCAACAAAAACACAACAAAGCTGAAACCAGGAGCAGCTAAACAAAAGAACACGAGGAACATGGAAAACATTACAAAAACCTTACAACCATGAGCAAAGACATCGAGGAGGAGGAGGAGGGGACACGGCTGACGACGAAGACGATCCGACAGAGAAGAGAGGGAAGCACACACACAGGGAGACGAGGAAACGGCAGCTGAGACTAATCAGACGAGACTCAAAACTCAAAGCACTGACTCTTCGCCTCCTTCATGTTCACGGTGGATCATAGATGTTATGCAGTAACTTCAACTGGAAAAGATGAGATGCTCCGTCAAAGGATCCACGTCCAGCTTTCACACTAACTGGCAAACATTTCTGACATTTATTGGCAAATGGAAAGATGGACAATAGCTGCCTCCTCCACAGTGTGTCTGTACATGTCAAGTTTATATAAGTCGTTCTGCCTTTTTTGTTTTTTCTTTCTTTTCCTTCTGGCAGATGGGACGGTTTCAGTTTATGAGCAGTGTGTCCCTCTGCTTGTATGTTTATTTGTTGTTGTGACTGTATAAAAATCTCTTTCAATAAAAAGACCTCGATGAAAAAAAAACTGCGAAACTCTCCAAAGTACGACAGGAAACACACGAGCGTGGAGACAAGGAGGAGGCACACAGGAGCACCTAAACACTAAACGATGAGTTTTAATAACACGGAGTCGTTCTGTACCATGACAGTGTCGGTGTTTTACAGAAAGGTTCTACGTTTAGATGTTGGTAAGATCTCCTGAGCGAATTTGAAATGCATGAATATAGTAAAGCTTTCTGTAAACCAATGAACTTCCATTTTCCCTCCATCATCACCGGTTTGACTAAACGCTACTTGTACTCTCGCTGTCACAGACGGAGGTCAGAGGTCCGCCATGCTCCTGTCAAGGACCCCTGACGATGACACACTGCCTCACCGACAACAACAAGGCAGCAGTTGAAGATCTCGCGGCCTCAGCCACACATTCCCACCCTCACTGTATGTTTGTTCTCCCATCGCCCCAACCAAGTCGTCACCAGGTGGCGACTTGACCCACGTGTCCAAAACATACAGCTGCAGATCCGATGGTATGATTACAAAATCCTGGTGCCGCATGCAAATATGAACACCTTTATCCTTCAACACGGTGTTCAATGTGTGGTTAGCACAGAGGTCCAATAACAGAACACCACTCGGGTTCACACTGGGCCGTTTCTCCCATTCAAACCTGTCCAGGTCACACTTGTGCCCACACAAGTGTTGAAGTCCCTCAGCAGAACGATGGAGCACCTCCATGAGGACGCTCTGAGCTGCTGTGTGGCACACAGACACGCCAGTCAAAGACCTGTTCCACGAAGCTTCTCTGCGTCTGCTCTTTAGATTCTTCCGGTTTTATTTTGCTCAGTCTCATCACCAGCTCAAGGAAGGCCTGGAGTTTTCTATCAGTCGTGGATTAAGACTGCATAAGGGTGGAGGATGACTACTGCTCATCTTACAGACCTCCTTTACAGCCAACTCAGTCTTTCTATTGGATTCTCTCCAGAATCCAGCACGTATCATAGGGACACGGAAGGTCAGCTTTCGTATTCCTGTGGGACACCTCGGGACATGACAAATCATCGGTATGTTACGCGTTGGGAATGAGAACGGTCTCCCTCAGCACACCTCTGCAGCTTATTGAATCACTGCACCCACAACAGGTGCAGACGTGGAAACCATGGTTCTACCTGTCAGGCAGAAATGTTTCCCCACGTGCTCGACTGACCAACCCCTCGAGCAGCAGCTGTTGCTTTAATATAACATTTTGATAATATTCCTGCACGCTCACAACGTTCTTATTCACCACCGAACAAAAAGGCTGCATGTCCTGAACGATCCAGCAATAAACAAGTTTGTGCATCTGTCCATAATGTTTACAGAGAGGGAACAGGAAGTTCGGACCCGTCACCGGTGGTTACAGCGATGTGATATGAATATAATTAAATATCTTGTAGAACACAAACTACAGATATCACAAAGATCACGGGTCTGGCAAAATTGTAAAGTAGCTTGAAATGTTGTGACTTCTTAACAAGAACAACATCAAGACTGGAGCAATTTCTATCCAATCACCTGGTTTCCGTGGTTACTTAACCCACTTTTGTTTGTGAAGCAAACAAAGAGAGGCGTTCAGTGACAGCAGGGCGGCTACAGTCAAACCCATAAATGTTAATCACTTGCCCGGAGCAACACCTGGATTCTGCAGCCAATCAGACACCGGATTATCCTTGGCGCCTCCATCGAGAGAAGAGCGTGAATCGACCGGTCTGACAGGTCAATAAACAACAACGAGCTTCGCAGAAACTGACGAGTGAACTCACACTGCGTTACTCCCCAAAAGGTTTCAGATTATAAAACGTGAGGCAGGCTGCACGTTTACCCTGATCACACATCTGTCTCTAGATGTTCAAACCAACACCAGGATGTGACTGAGTCCTCGCTGCGTTCACACGCTGAACGATTCCCGAGAGCTGTGAGGCAATCCTGCAAACAGCAGAAGATCCCAGTTTGGCTTCCAGCATGTTGTTTGTGTCCCAGTGAAACAAACAACAAACTGCGAGATAAATGTAGGTCTCTGAGGTCACGGTGTACATGTGGACAGCTTCTGTTTCACTTGTTTGTTGTCTCTTTGTTTTCGTTGTTTGACCTTTTGAAATAAATCTTTGAGTTTCCATCAATGAACTGAGGCCTGGGATGTTGCAGGTACCCACGTGACGATGTCCTGTTGACCTGATTAACCCCGGAGTCCTGTGAAAAAGCTCTTTGTCAACAAGCTTATTATGAACATAAATAATACAGCGTGACTCATGCAGGGCTTTTAGAACACACACACACACACACACACACACACACACACACACACACACACACACACACACACACAGAGCAGGAGACTCTTCACATTTGTCAAAACATGAAGATTCAGTCACTTCAGCTCTGCCATGTTAAACACTGAGTCATTACGAAGTTTCGTCGGCTGGAGCATCGTTGGGATGAGCCTGAAGCTCATCAACTCCACCCTGCAGGGCAGCGGAGCTCCTCCCTCAGACTGCGTCAGCCATAGAGGAGCTTCAGCTGCATATTAACTCCTCATTCGGTCTCAGGGAGCACACCTGCCACCTGTCAGGCAGAAGAGCCCAAACAGATCTCTGCATTTCACCTACAAAACCTTATTATTATGTTACGTTGTGTTTTTTTGTCACACTGTCACTTTGTTGCTCTTGTTTGCACGTGCACTTTGCTGTCTGTTAACAAAAAAAAGTCTTCCTTAGATAGTTAGATAGTTTTTGTTCATTTATGTTAGGCCAGTCTGTCTTGCCTCTGCTAGCCAGCTAACTAGGCCTCTTAGTTAGCTAGTTTAGTGTTTTCTGTTAATTTATGTTGCATGTAGCACCTTGGTCCTGGAGGAACGTTGTTTCGATTCACTGTGTACTAACTGTACATGGTTGAAGTGACAATAAAGCCAACTTGACTTGACTCATGCTGTTTTGCTCACATTCATAGTCTACAAATGATTTATGAGCGAGGTTTGCACTCGTCTCTCATCTAGAGGAAACTGTTCCGTCACCTGTTGGACTCCCACCATCACAGGTGTATTTCACCTCAGTGCTGCCATCTTCTCAAATTACCGTTCCTGTTTGAGCAGGTCTTTTATTAAAAGTCTGAAGTAACCAACCACAACAGCAGTTGTCGTGAGCTGACACTGTACACATAATATAATAGATAAATGATGCTGCCGCCTGGCCTCAAACCTGTGTGACAGGTCAGCCCTGTGCGGCAGCCTCACCTCAGCAGGGCGGGAGGGGCGCTCGTATCCCGTCACCTGAGGGGACGAGCGCACCCTCCTGTATAAGACAGATGCTTCAGCATCCACAAACACACTCCGGGCGGCAGCAGTCATGGCAGACTTCGGTGGCAAACCCGGGGGAAATGATGGGATTGCGCGTGCTTTGGGACAGCAAGCCGGTGAGTTTGAGGAAAATCTCTCAGATTTCATCAGCTTTAAATATTATTTCAAAGAAGAGAAGAGTTTTTATTCTGCTGTCTGCAACAGCTTCAAACCTCAGAGAGTTTCCTTCAAAAGGTTCAAAGTATGAAGCTAAAATGAAAGATTTTTAATTAGGTCATAACAGTTGAGTTGAATCTCTTCATTAGAAATGTAAACTTACGACCTCTGTTTATTTTGATGTTTCATTCTATTATCATGATTATGATTATCTTACTTTTTCTGTGGTTATCTAAACTGTCCACGCTTTTTAAAATCCTTTTGCTCTTTAAGCAAAAACAGAAAAACGGATAAAATGTTGTGTGGCGATCGGCTGACTGAGCACTCACACTTTAGTTCAGACTCGCAACCAGGAAGCGATAACACTGTCTGATACTAAATCACAGACTTTATGAATGAGCAGTCATTTCATTTTCAGTCTGCAGTAAAAAAAAATTAAATATTTAACGTAATTTTTGGACTTTGTTGAGAAGACGAGGTGTGCAACAACATCGATGCAAACACCAACACCGACAGTTCGCCGGTTTGTCCGTCCACATTCCTGCGTGAAACTGACAGGAATTTCCACACGGCCGTGTCGGTGAGGGCAGCCTTGTTTACAGTGCAATCAATCATGTGGTCATAGAAACGTCAATGCAAAGTAAGTGTAATTATCGCACTCGGCCATCGTTGTTCAGCCTGTTCTGCAAACTCAGCCGCTGAAGCTCAGGGAGCAGACACGAAGCACAGCAGGTACACGCCCACGTCACGCACGCCCACACCGCCCATCAGGTACTGCAGACACAAAAAGAGGAAACTGGTCCACGCGTACCCTTCCACAGCAACGCTAACGTGAGGCCAGAAGCTTTAGAGAGCGAGCTGAGGCCGCCAGCTCCAACCTAGCTGCTCAGCATGTCTCCAAAAGTAGGGTCACCACAAACTAGCAGCACTACACGCACAGACACGGTTCACCATTCAGCGGCCGTGGCTCCTGTTTCTTCCCTCTGCCTTCCCTGACCTTTCTTCCATCTGTGGCTGTGGAGCTGTGTCGGCAGGTTGCAGATGGCCAAGTACAGATGAAATAGCTCACGCTGAAAGTAGAAATAAGCAGTAATAATCAGTACATATAAATGTGATGGTGAGAGCCCTTCAGGTGAGGATGCCTAAACGCTGTTTGTTGTGCAGGTAAGGTGGTGGAGGGTGCAGTGAAGAAGGGCATGAGTGCATACGCACAGAAGGGGCAGAAGGGGCAGAAGGGTGGCCAGGAGGGTGAGAAGAAGAAGGAAGGAGGAGGAGGAGGAGGTCTCAACATCGATGACGTGCTGTCATTCGACGGTGGAAACAAAAACGAGGGTCAGGGAGGTGGAGGAGGTGGAGGAGGTGAGCGCTGCCTAATGGAGCAGCATTTTTAAACATTTTGTGTTTACATGTGACTTGGCATCGTGCAGGATGAAAGCAGAAAGCTGATTTAGACCAAATATTTAAATTTGATGTGATTTCATTTTGAATTTGATGGCACCCTGTCGTGTTATCATCCAAAACAATCAAACCTGTACAGGTGTTATGAAAGAGGAAAATATCCACAGAGGTCAGTGTGTGGGAGCCGACTCGCTGCTGCCTCTGCTGGACGTGGGAGGAACTGCAGCTTCAGAGACGGCTCCATCTGTGTTTGTCTGATATTAATTTCTCGTTTCTCTCTCAGGTCTGGGGAACGTCGTTGGCGGGTTATTTAAATAGAAAACCTCCTTCAGCCCCATCAAACCTCCACCTGCAGCCTCCTGAGATGACTACATCATATCATGTTTGCTGTGTTTTATCTTCTTTCACTTCATGTTCAGCAGAAAATTCAAATTCTTCCGTCTGATTGTTTTATGATTATTATCATTGTTTGTCCTGCCTTAATAAACAGGCACAATTAAAAGAGCTTTGTCACCAGTGTGCATTACTTCCTGCTTTATTTGTTTAGTCAGATTTAAGCAGTGTCCCAAATCAGGGTCTGCATCCTCCTGAGGCCGCATCTGTAGGCCGATTACGTCACAGCGACATGACGAAGGCTGCTCCAAATGCGGCCGATAAATGCGTCCTTCATTTCCCCGGATTTGAAGGATGGCTCAGGTGTACAGACTGAGGGACCCACTGCTGCACATCATCTGTGAGGCTTTGCAGCCCTGATGATCCACCAGGACAAACTCAGCAGTGTGTGAGGAAGAGGAGGAGGAAGAGCCAGCAGCAGCTGACAGATGGAGAGAATAGACAGACTGTTCCCTGTTTGTGAAGGACTGCTAGGAAAGTTAATATAACTGTCTGTGCTGAATCAGTCTTATTGGGTAATGTTCAAATAATGTGATCCTCCCAGTGTTTCCAGTGTGGGAGAAAGTACTCAGAGTACTCAGGGCCTTCAAGTTACACACTATGAAAGGCAGCAACAAGTTTAATGTTCAGAAAC